AAATATATAGAGAAAGAACAATAGAGGAATTGTCAGCCAATCAGGAGGACTAACGTCATGAAATAAGATCAAGCTAATTGGATAGTTCTTTTTCTTTGTTTGAGAATTGTTTATTCAGTAATTTGCAATTGAATGAGATGAAAAGAGTCTACGTAAAAATTATCAAGGAGTACAAAATAACCTTGCTAGCCTACTTCTTAATTGAAACAATTTAAGATTATCTCGCACGGGAAAAGATACCTTCTGATAAACACTCATTCTTGATATAACATCGCTAAGATCGATGATAAAAAAAAGTTCAACGATCGCAACGATTAACTGAAAAAACGCGCTTCAACGAATCGCAGCGGTCGCTACCAAAGTATAAAAGTCCAGATTACTACTCTTTGTGAGCTGCTTGTTCGGCGATCAAAGATCATGATGAAACCAGGTTTTCTTGAGCAGTTACGTAAGACAAGCTGATTGTTCAGTTATAGGCAGTGTTTATTGTTCAGTAACTTTTATTTTTTTAAAAAAATCTGATCTCTGCTTTAGGAAAGCCAATTGCGTTAATAAATGGATTGATAAAATACCTAAATTAATCATAATCCAGCAAACTGCGCGTTCGTATTCAATAAGGAGAAAGATAAACGAATGTGTAAACAGACTACTGTTCATTTCACGATCAAGTTAGCATCAAGTTATACAGGCTTTGGAAATGGTAAAAACGTTTGGGAATTTTGTTTTCGGGGCCTATAAACACAAACCAATCGATCAAAGGCCCTCTGATCCTAAACTGAACAACAAATAGGCGAGAGAAATAAAGATTAAGTTTTAAATACTACCGATTCAATTTTCCACGTCAAATCATTTAATTTATATTCGTTGCCTCGGTTAAAATTGTTTCAAAAATTCTTAAAAGCAAACACAATATATGCCTTTCAGTTACAATGCCTTTTGTTTCAGCAAACAATAACCATGCAAATAAGCAAACAACAGAGCTGTTAAGTCTGCGATTTATACACGTATTTTGCTTTTTGGAATTAGAGCGGTTTTCACTTGACTGTCGTAAAACCAAAACCAAAGTAAATACACTAGCCAACCAAAGGGGGTAGTAAAACCAAAACCAAACCAATTCCTCAATTACTTTCGACAGTCATATGTACTTTCCCTTAATCAAAAAATATTCTTGTGGTTCAAGCATAGCGGAATCGCTTTCGCCCATCCATGCTATCTGGTACCCCATAAAAAGGGCCAAAATTTTTTTATCGTGACCGGTTAAAGTTGACGTTTATTATTTGTAATTTTTCGTTATAAATCTGATAAATCTATAATCCAGTTCATAATGGTAATTGAACTGAGTGGAGTGCAATTTAGTCTGAAATCATAAGCGCGATTTCAAAATTACGACACGAAGTTCAATTGCCGCTTTATTGCAGCCACTATGAAATCGCATTTATTTATCTAGTAGCCGGTTAGTTGAAAAGCGGAAACATAAAGGCTTTTAAATCCCATTTTGTATTTGAAACAAAAATGATGCGATAAAGACCAAAAATGGTGCGATTTAAAGCACAGGGCACCCAAAGACGGTTTCCTCCTAAATACAATAGAAATCAAGGCTATCCAGAGTACTTTTGTACTTTTACATCCCTTGAAATACATTCTAAGTCAGATCCTAAGCGGCGCTATAAAAATTTGTTTATGTTCGGTCATCCTGTGGAAAATTCCATCACATTTTTGAATTGGAAATTATAGGTTTCCCTTTTTTAACGAAAAATAGCCTGATCTGGGGAGTGAAATGTGAAAAATTAAATTTCAGAAAATCTTAGGGAATTTATTAGATGAGCTTCCAAAATTGTGGATGAACAGCACGATCATCTAGAAAGTTAAAGCTTTCCAGGCAGTGTTTGCTTCTTCGAACACATATTTCACATAATACAGTCGTTGGGTGCCCCCCCCCGGGGGGGGGGGACTCCCATATGAAACAGACGGGGATGCTCGTCGGAAATTTTGAATTTAACCCCTAAAGGAGACCATCTGGGCGTGGCTCAAGCTTTTTGTGACCCCCAAAGGAGACCAATCTGGGCGTGACTTAAGCAAATTTTGACCCCTAAAAGAGACCGCTTAAAAACACACAAATACGACATGCAATGAGTTTTAATGATATCAAAACATAATCATCGAATGCTTTTATCTAAAAGTAGTTCTTAAAAGCATTGTCATAAATCACAAGTTCTTCGCGGAACCCTAAACGAGACCATGACGGCTTAAAATATTGGTGCTTTGCCCGGAACACCCTAAGCGAGACCAAAATCCAAAATTTACACCCCTAAGCGAGACGACGAGCATCCCCGTCTGTTTCATAGGGGAGTCCCCCCCCCCGGGGGTGCCCCTGACCCCGTGTTTAGGTCCAGCTTCTCCTGTGTCGATCCTGCGATGAATCCACCACAATTCTTGTTTCCTCGCTGGAAAACAGGATGTTTGAAACCGAATTTGCATTTCAAAATTTACGTTGTAGCTGCAAGCCTTCATAAAATGAACGAATCTCACCTTTCCAACGCTAACGTGGCTCAGACTATCATAATTTAATTTTAAAAGCGCCACCAGACTGGAGCATCCAACGACTGTTTTTTCAGACTGTTTTCTGTAAAATAGAGAGAAGCAGATATTGCCTGGAATTTTCTATTCCTTGAGGACGCCTAAAAATTTCTAGAAAAATAGAGTAAAACGTTGTTTAATGTACAGTCAACTCTCGATATTGCGGACACCCTCAGGGCCGCTTTTTAGTGTCCATCTGACAGTCCAATAACAGGGTGCGAGAAAATATTTCTTGATGTTAGTTTTACTGCTAGTACTAGTGAATATTGCACAGAACCAATTGCAGTGCAGTTTTCGCGTATAGAGAGCGTCAAAACTTTATGACAAATCGTAACAGAACAGAACAGAACTTTCATTTACCAGAAAAGTCACTGAAAAATTTGTAGTACACAAAGACTATTATTACTTGAGTTCATCATGACTGTTTTTTGCAGGTAAGTACGGTATTTTTCGCCAGGGATATAAACAAGAGCTGTCCGTATAAGCGGGCTGTCTGCAAGGCGCGCGAGAGTTGACCGTATTAACTGTTGTGTCAGGAGCCGGATGTATCACTCTCCATCATCCCTCAAAAGAAAACAATCAGAATAACATCTTCTCTTCCGCTCATCTGTCTATACCACATAGGTAAATTTATCTACTAAAAAACGTTTTTTTTTCCGAATTGCAATTTATTTTTGGGATGTTTTTACTCTTGCAAGCCAGGTACATACCCATAATACAAGAAATTCCAATCAATTTTAAATATTTCGACAAGGCTTGTCGAACTACCCATCATTGCCCATTGTTCACTTAATGTAGCCTTAGGGAGCCTTTGGTTCTCAAGCCCTCGGCTTGCATATGGATTTCTTTGCATTAGCATTTTGAACATTTTGTAAGATCAATAAAATCAAAATAATGTATATCATCAATTACTTGTAATGTTTTGTAAATATAATGCATATTGCAAATGTATTTTATGTGGTTTATGGCACAACACTGGTGAGAACGAAAAATTTTATGAGTAAAAGCGAAAACCAAGAAAGAACGAAAAGGAAAACCAAATACCCAAATTTCAATAGCAAAATCTGAAAAATGATCTCAATATGAATAAGTTTTAAACCAGCTCATCTCGCCCACCCCCAGCTGATCACAGTAGACAGTTTTTGCTCCAGATACATCATTATACATTTCTGGGAAACTGCCCACCTACCCCTCCCCTAAGCCAACATTAACACTTATTACTCACTTAGGGCAAAATGTTGGCTTAGGGGAGGGGTAGGTGGGCAGCTTCCCAGAAACGTATAATGATTCGAAAATATTTAGATTGTTTATCAGCGTGCAAAGAAATGAGTGTCCGATTGCCCGGGGCTAGGGGATTTTGCTATTGGGCTAGTGAATTCTGTTTTTAACTTGCCTGACGGGCAAGTGATGTTTTTTGAGGAATTCGATGAACAGAAGAACTGTGAAATCAATTCTGCTAGTCAAAAAGTTTTTGGGGCTAGTTGAAATGACGTCTGGGCTAGTAAATGCTAGCTTTAGCTTGCCCGAATGGCAAGCTGTAAAAATTTTCCTTGCACCCTGTTTATTCCATTTCTCCCTTAGTTGTTGGTTTTGTTTGGCTCTAAAAACAGATTATGGTTGTTCTTAAAGCTGTGTCAAAGAAGTCAAAATAACACATTTTCCTACACCAAACTTCCATTAATTATGATCTGTTTGTTGAGATTGAAAAACATTCAAGGGAAGTTTCTCCCCTTATGGCTGTCGTCTGCGCAGTTATTCAGTTATTCATTACAACCTCCTCTTTGAAAAAATCCTGTATCTGCCCCTGTTCACTGTTGCCCGAAGTTTTGTTTTGCAACAAGTGATGGAAGTCCCGTGTATGGAATGACTCCAGGGTAATTTTAACCAATCAGAAGTCAGCACTCTCACAACTTGCAACAACCTGATTTGTGGCAAGACAGGTTTGAATGTGGGTGGTAAAATGCGCAACATAGCTTGCAGCAGAAAAGTTGCACGTTTCTGTTGCTCGTTTTACCGTAACTTTAGATACTGAATAATGAATATGTGAAAATCATATATAAGAACTACCGGATGAAGAACTGAAGGAAAAAAGATCATTGCGGTTATAAATTAACGCAACTATTGCAGTTGTGAGAAGAAAGCCTGAAAAGATTCAAGGTGGTATGGGATTCAAACCCTCGACCTCTGCAATAGCAATGCAGTCCTCTGCCATGTCTACCCATTGAGCTTAACAAGCAAAATGAATGGGTATGGATTTAAAAAATGGAGTTAGTGATATCTCCGCTCCCAGCCTGCATGTGTTAAACAAAAATCATACTGTACTCAAGCACCTGGTGAGCTCTCTTTTATAATTTTTATTGTTGAAGGTCATTTAAAATTGCTAATCATTTTGTTATTCAACACAGTCTACAAATCCAAATTTACAGCTTGAATTGATTAAAAATGTCAATGAATTAATTCTTACACGGGCATATTAGAAGTTTGAGTTGTTCAATTATTGCATCTAGCTATTAAATTAAGTACAAACTTTCCTGTGTGGCCTTTTCATTCCAAAAGCATGTAGGACTTTCTTTTGCTTATCTTTCAACAATTTTTTTCTCTACGCTCATGTGACTACGCTCACCGACGCAATCATGTTCCACATACTGATATTGATACTGCTCCTTTGATCTTACAGTTTACAAGATACATCATATTTGCCACAGCCTGGATATAACTTCATGTTAGGATTGTTCAAATCACCCTCGTTACCCTCTCCTGTATCACTTGAAGGACCAGTCGCCTTTACACACACGCACTTAGGGTCCTTCTTTCCTGGTTTAAACATCCTTCTTGGAACTCCAACCCAGTCTCTATTTATTCCAGCACTGCAATAAAATAGTGTTGGAAAAAATGCATAAGATTTAGTGCATAAGCTATACAAAACTTGTATTTCAAAAATCACCCTTTTGCTTATGTGAGGAAGAAAAAAAAGAATGTTCAGCTGAATTTCAGGAAAATCTCTTCTTGCTAGGGAGATACTTCAGAAACAAGACTTTTTCTACATCCTTATGTCTTGTTGTTCATAATGAGAACAACATTATAAGAAGAATAATTCTTTACGTCCCCTTTCTTCACATTCCTAATTTTAAGGGCTGTTGACTTCAAACTGGCAAAACGAAAGTTTTTATGAAAAAACCCACATGCCAAACAAAGATGAGCTAAAAGGATAATTTTAAAACTAAGCTTTTGAATCTCTACCCTGTCCCAGAGTGAAGGCGTTAGATTAAGATATAAACAACAGTCCAGTTGGGATTTCTGTTGATAACTGAATATAACAATATGCTGCTGATGTACCTGCAACATTGCCACCAATACTACCTTTGATGCTGTTTTGCATAACAGAACATCCACTGCTGACAAAGAGAAATGATGCAGGTCTTTACCGCCGGCATGGCTGTGAAGTTGATCTGAATTTGACTCTGCAGGTATTCCGGATGGCCTCTGTCACCGGTGACTTCTGTTCTCATATGGGAACAGTATCCAAGATGATGAGCAGCTTTGTTGCAGGAACATTGGCAGCATATGAAAACCAAGTATTACAGAAAACCTAAAAACATACCTGTTTTCAGAACACCAAACAAGTGATCCTTCATCCTTACTCCACCTTGAATTACAACCTGGAAAGCGTTTATTTTCAGCGTCTTGTAGTTTTTGCAGACGCTGTCCTTCCTTTATGAGTGCTTTAGCTTCCTGCAATGCCTCAGTTGGCTTTCCTTCACTATCATAGTAACGCCCTATTAATTTTCCAACGTAAGTGTAGTCTTTTCTATAAAAATCCAACCAGCCTTTGACACCCATCATATCCTCTGGGGATAAACCTTTCACGTCATCTGTAGCATCCTCTCTGGCAAATTTTCCAGTAACAAAGGAAGGGGTCGAGTCCCTGCCTGCAAACACATTGTATCCACTGCCCACTTCATAATGTCGCCTTCCTTTGTCAACATCGTAAATTCGACCAAGAATAGCTAAGTATACTGGAATGTTAGGATCGGAGCCATCGTGCTTAGCTAGCTCTTCTGCGGTTAACAAAACTTCTTTCTTTGGAGTTTCTTTCGCCTTGCCTCCTTTACCCGTTCCCGTCTCTTTAGTAGTTCCTTTTACGATCGTCGCAGTTTCCTGCCGCGTAACTGCAAAAGTTAAAAGGCCGGCAATGATAACAACTAAAACAGGCATCAAAACGTAGTAAATTTTGGCAAATGTCTGAACCCCTGAAGGCTTCGAAACAGAGACATCTTTTTCCTTCTGCGCCGAGGTATAATCATCGTGATCGGATTCAATTTTCTCGGACTTCTTAGTTGACTTGATATTCCGCTCTCGAGACATTCGGACTCCACTTCAAAGTTATATTAAACAAAGTGCTTTCAAGATGTAAACTTGTCTGATCTTGGAGAAATAACTTGGAAATAAAGTCACGAAAGAGTAAACCGAACAAATACGAGGGCAATATAACTGCAAAATAGGGCAGGCGACTTGACAGCGGGAAAGAATGGGTACGAATGAGCTTAACTTGCTCCCAGATTCCTCTCCGCTTTCAATGTAACAGCGTCTTCGAAACGTGTCGTGAACGTTCTGGGACGTTTTACTGCACGTTTATCATGTTTCGGGCCATACTTCTCATCCCAATATGAATGCTGGCACAGTAGGGGATTGCGTAGCTAAAATGATTTTATTTTTTGACGATTCATCAGAAGCCGTAACATGTCTATGTTCACGTGCCCTATTAAGGTAAGCTGAACTGTTTACATGTGCAAAGCACAGTGTAGTATCTGTTTCATTTAAACTCTTGGTAAAACTATTGGTCCGCACACCCCCACATAGTACTTTGCCCAGCAGCTGTACTTCCACTAATCGAACGTGGCAGAATGGAAGAAAAATATATGCATTGTCGGATCAGATTTTGGTTGGACTGTATACATTAAACTTTCGAAGCTACAGGGGTGGGGGCGGGGAGAGACAACGTCTGGGACAGAGAAACGATGTTCTCACAACTTGCAAGGCGGTCACCTTGCGTGGTGGTCAGCGAATAATTGCAATACTTTTTCTAAAGTAAATAATTCAGGGGGGGTGGGGGTGGTGGTGAACTTGGTAGTATGTTTGTCCTGATGATCTTGGCCATCGCGACGTGACGAAGAGAGAAGTGCACAACTTCAAAGAGTTTTCGAAAATGGTGACGTTGCCATTTCCAAATGCGACTTTTAAAGTTGGCTTTCTTGAATGTTGATGCTTCAAAATGGTTTTTGTCAGAGTAGGATAGTGCAGTTCCAACATCTCTTTCCGAAAAGGTGAGTAAAATGTGTATTAATCTGAAAAATAATGCACATGAGAGCTGTAAACAGTTTCGGTCAATTTCCTCAAGTGGAATAATGTGCCGCAAAAGTGTTTTTGTTCCTTCTCAAAGCCCTTGATCTTTGGTTTTGATGTAATGCACATGATCAATAAACAAATCCGCTGGTAAGACCCTTGATGATCGCTTTGCAAGTTGTGAGAACATCGTTAGGATTTCATTTAAGAGAATGTATGGGAAGTAGTTCCCCCTCTCCTGTTTAAAGTCCCCTGAGAAAATCTCATCCATCTGAGGTGGGGTAGGGCATATTAATTAAATGTAATAATGGGGAGCAACTACAGAATACAGGGCCATATCTTAGGTCTCAAACAGAAGTGGCTTGGTGGCTCGCTAGTCAAGACCAGTGTTTATACACTGTAGAATGACAAAGATATGACATATACCGTATTTATTCGGCTATGAGCCGATCTTGGTTATTAGCCAAGACCCTAAACTTTGAACGCATAGAATCAGCATAACCAAGGACAAAAAATAAATTGAAAACACCTGGCTATAGGCCGAGACCCATTTGTTACAAGACTTTTAACTACAGTAAAACCTAACATTTTCGAAAGAAATGTGACCTTCTCCAGGAAAATGTACACTAACACATTTCCATGAAACAGGCAAAAACTAATGGCTGATAATTGGCTTTTGAATCGTTTAAAGGGTTGATTAATGCTTTTAACGGATTGGCAAAAATTTCTTATGGCTTTGGAAAGTGTTTGAACAGCAGACCAAACGCATCGATTTCAGATGCTTAAAAGACAATTTATCACGCGTGACTCACAAATCCATACGGAGCATTCTTCAACACATGATTAATAAGGAAAATTCAATTCAATTTCCCAAAATTATTCCCAAAAGGCGCATAATGTTGACTTTGTGTCCTAACTGTAACACAACGTGCTAAAATTGTTGCCTTTTAAATAGCTGCAGAAGTGCTCAAAGGTCACCAGAACATCTTCGGACATTTTCAGCATTGTTCAGAATTCTTCTAAAACTCATCAGAAATCTTTGGAAGTCACTGGGATGTTCACAGAAATCCCAGTAATGATAAGATGAAAATCTCACACATTTGCCTCAGAAAAAGTTGGCAGGTATATGAATGCTGGCTACATTTATGCTAAGCATGCATAATAGCAACATGGAGATTAGGATTGTTGGCTGCTCTTGTTGTTCGCCGCTACGTAACTTAGTTACCCTATTTCCATTAGTTCCCTTTCTGCCATAAGAAGAGGAAATGCTGTAGATCTTTAAAACTATCTCTTTTTTGCATTTGCCTTTTCTGTTCTTATTACTTTTAACAAAACAAAGTAAAGACCAGAAAAATATAAAATTTATACATAATACTGTGTTATGGAGCAGAACACCATGTAGACTGTGTCAACAGAATTAATTCTTGTATATAAAAAAGGAACAGATGGGTTAGATACCCTTGGTGATTGTTTAAAGAATGGTCATTAACGTCAAATTACTGTGTTTATCTGCCACCAGTGATATTGATCTGTTGAAATATGAAAACCACCCACATGTTGGAGAAAAGAACAAGGCAGAAAAGAACACCATGCAATTTAAGGTATGAAATGAGGTCAGATAAATATCTTTAGTTTTAGGACGTTTCCCCTTTCAAATGAGAATTGCTGGATTTTTTTCTTCAACCTTCAGTGTATTGAAAAAACAGAAAAGCTTTTCCTATCTGGCTCTGATTTGCATTCCACTTAAGAGAACGATACCAAAGAAACTGAGTCTGTATTTGATACAGAGGAAGTTAATACTGTACATTTTGATGCCGTTGTTTTTGTTTACATAATCAAATTCAACTTTGTTTCCTCCAGTTAACAAGGGGCTCATACTCATTGTTTTTGCTTGGAATTGTATCTGCACAATATCAAGCAGTACTTCATGTTGACGATTTCTGTGGCTGTGCATTTTATGAGATTATTAGTTAGTTCTTTATACTATTGTTAAGTTGCAAAAGGAAAGACCCTTATTACGTTTGGAATTAGTGGCTCTTAAGGGTTGGCTTCTTTTGGGTGTTTTTTTGATTAGCTACAGATACAGTTTACTAGCTTGCTTGACTGTGAACTGAAATTTACAAAGTGTAAAAGTATTATGAATTTTCCTCATAAAAATCTTATTTAAATCACACATCATGGCTTTCTATATTTTTACTATCAGGGGGATTCACACCTGCATGTGTTACATAATAAAAAGCTTAAGAATACTATTATCTTTTTTCTGGACTAAGTGTATTATAACTGCCATTGCACTTAGTGAGTAGTTCAAATATCCACTGGGTTAACAGACAAGAATCTTAAACGAGAAAGGAAATACAACAGGGTCCGAAACTGCACCTTCCTGGCGACCAGAATTTCGTAGCTGGTCACCAGCTAGCGACTTGTAAAGCTGGTTGATTAACGTTCGGAAAAACTGATTTAAGAATCGAAACGTCGAAGCTATTTGCCAACAGGAGTCTTGCTTTTTGTCCTGCTGATATTTTTTAATTAATAGTGAAACAAATCTTCCTGTAATAATACCTCCACAACAGCTACAATCAATACGAGTTGAACGTTTCCAAGCCGCCATGTTGTTTTCAGCTGTAATACAGTAAGTACGTTATTAACTTTGTGGATGTGGCACAGTTGTGGCCTGGTACAGCCAACATGGCGGCTTGACTCGTGTTTATGTTTCGTGTTTCGTGGTAGTTATGGGAAGAAAATAGAGTTTTGATAATTATGATCAGTGCAGTCATGAGCAGACAGCTTTCTGTTCCTACGTTCTAGGTCAGATATGTTTACATCTCTGAAAAGCGATTTGTGGAAAAAATAAGACTTCACTCGTACACTTACGGTTGGTTTCTGGTATCGGGAGCGGAAGTAGTGCAATTTTTTTAGCATAAAAACGTCCATACCATACATTTTTTGTTCTTGTTTAAACTTTTATTTGAAAAAAGGGAGGGGGAATTTTTGGCGACCACAATTTGCCCTCTGGCGACCAAAAATTTATACTTAATCGCCAGTTGGCACCCATATTAAAAAGTTAATTTCGGACCCTGTACAACAATAGTGCCAGCCCACAAGCACATTGTTCAGTTCACGAGGGTTTTTCAGGCTATTTCCACACCATTCCAGTTCAGTTTTTTTGGCAGAAATTAATTCACAGTATGGTGTCAAGCCTACTGCACAAAACACCATGAAATGACCCAAGGTTTTTCACATTACTGCATCACAGAATTGGTTCAGAGGGAAAGCCAAATACTATGTCTGGCAGTAGTACTATTATGATACTTTAAGCGTGCTGAAAAAAGCAGGAAAGGTCGGGTTATTTACCTTCAGAACAGTCTGTTTGCTTGTTCACTTTACACCTTGTAAAGTTTCTAAATCATAAATGGTACAAATCGTACTGTTCATAGAACTGTAAGTGTTCCTTCCCAGTGCAGTCCATCTGATAGGGTGCAATAAAAAATCAGAAATTGAGAGATATTTTCAGGGTAGATTGAGCACTATTGTGCAATAAATTATGCAATTTTTTAAGGGTTAATTAACATTGTCTTACCAGGTTTCAAAGGAGAAAAATCACTTTGATGTTGTTTAACAGGCAATTTGAATGTAAAAGAATAATAAAACATTTTTTTAAAACAAAATAGTTAAATTTGTCCAATTGTCTTGACCTGGAAAAGAAAAAAATGAAAAGAAAGAAGAAGGACACTTTTTTAATATTATATGACGCCGTTACACCGCTGACTACACTGCTTGTCTCTGAAATCAAAATGGCTGCCCAGATACTGTGATTGAAGGTTTCAGATGTCTTGCAAGGCTTTCTTTAGTGGTAAATCACCTTAAATAACAATTAAGGTTGGGAAAATGTTTGATTAAAGTTAAAATTTATTGTTCACTTTACTTGAATTTAGCATTTTTTTACGAATTATGCGATTTTTCTCAAATTGTGCAATCTGATGCGATGTGAGGTCAAGTGTGCAAAATTGCACCATCGAGTAATATCAGATGGCCTGCCAGTGGGGCTTAAGCGACAAAAACATTTGCTATTCCAAAGTACAACAATTACAACAATTACAATTATTATCACAAAGCATACATGCACAAACTTACTACACACCTAAGCACACGTGCAATTCCACAATTACCACACAAGGTAATGCCTACTGTTATTTTACAAGTGTTATTCAAAAAAGACGAAACTAATCATTTTTTTTCAAAAAAAGAAAAACTACCTAGATTACAAAGTCCATTTGTCCATTAATTTTTGTAAATTCTTATTCTTAGTGCAAATATATTTTTCTATTTCATATTTACCATTTATTCTAACTATAAAACTGTTTATGGTTGGGAGTAGTTCATTCCTCCTGCAACTCCATAAATATATTTTCCCTATAAGTATAAGATAATTAAGCAAGGGGCATTCAGAAGATAAAAAGCCGATCCAAATTTCCTTTAATGTTAGGTGAACTAGTTGTTTTCGCAACCCAAAATAATAAATTATGATTCAATACATTTCCAGAATGAATTCGAATAAGCTAAGGGCAGTCCCAAAAGAAATGTCTAATAGTTTCTGATTCCCTTTTGCAAAAAGAGCACAAGTTGTCTGTTCTGTACCCAATCTTGAACAACTTTGAGTTGGTAAAAAGTATAGAATTAAGTATTTTAAATTGAAATGCTTTGACATAAGGTTTAAACGCGATAGAATGGGGCAAGAGAAATGCCTTTCTGAGATCGTCATTAGATAGATTAAAATCCAACTTCAGTTTTTGTGCATAATTTGGGAGACAAGCCTTCTTTTTGATCAAAAAAGGATAATAGTCTTTTGATTTCTTTTGGCTATGTCGAAAACGCCGCCATTGATTTTAAGGGAAGGTATTGCATTAAAGGTACTCGAATCCGAGCGATTAAGAACTCTTAAGTTGGTTGGTATTGAATGTCTCATACTAGTCCATTCAAGAAAGTTTGTCTTTTTAACATTTTTTGCAATCTGCTCGTAGGATTCCGTATTGCTGAGATCAAAATGTAGGTCTCCTATTTCCCAGATACCAATGTCGTAATATTTCTTGTAGAAAAAGGGCTTGTAGTCTATTCTTAAGTCTCGATTATTCCAAATTACATAATAACAATCGTATTAAGAGCATTATCTTCTCGGAGTTCCGACCACCATTTAAGTAGTTCTAAATAAAAGGTAGAGGTAATTTGAAGATCCTTAACATTATAATTGCATTTAAAAAGCATTAGACCTCCAGAATCTTTCAAGATGTATTCAAGGTAGTTTTTCCACGCGCCTGAGTTGTCACTAAATATTCGTTTAAGCCAGGAAAGACGGAGAGATTTTATCAAACTTTCAATATCCACCATTTTGATGCCTCCTTCATAATTATTTATTGTTGATGCTCTTGTTACTTTATCTTTACCTTTCCATAAAAACTTATGTAACATATATGATTTAAATCCTTGACAATGTGTTCCGGAGTAGGTAACAAAGAGAAGGTGTAAACGATCTTAGGTATAAGAAGTGATTTGATTAGAGTAACCTTTCCGTAGACAGAAAGCCCCCTTGAGGACCAGATGTTGATTAGTTTTTTAATGTCGACGATTTTCTCTGAGAAATTCTTTGAGTGAGACAACTTATTAAGCAACAAAAACATGCTGAAACTAGGTTTTTATGTGTAGACGAAAGCCTTATCTGCCTTGGTTTTTAATATGTAGTTAAAGCTGTCTGGTATGGTGTAAACAAAGGCTCAATAGTGTGACCAAAAGTGAGAGGGGCTTAATTCATATTAAGTTTTTGCTTTATCTTATTTGCTGGGCAAATTAGAACCTTTAAATCTTACATTCCATTCATAATGTTTTAAGGTTGAAGAGAAGGAAAGGCTACATGTCAGTCTAACACCTAGTCAAGCAAGAGCACTTTCAAAGGCGCCGTATGTACATGAAATGGAAGACCCTGACGTGACAACTTCACAGGAGTTACATCTGATGCAGAGAATGGGCTTACCAACTTGCTTCTTGAATTCCCCTCGTGACTTGGATTCTGATGATGAGGTGTGTACTGCTGAAACCCATTTAATCTTTCACTTTTACAGTTTTATAGCCCTAAGACACTTGAATCTGAAGAGTGATTGTGTGACCATTCAAATGAAACCTCTTCCACAGGACATTTGCATGTGCTTTCTTCTCACTGCAAGAAGTGAAAGGAGTACTAACTTTGTGGCGTTTATATGTTTTGGTTCAATTTTATCTTTGGTTTAAATTTTATTTCCCTTTGTTTTGGGGTATGGCGATTTAGTAAAATCCAACTAGTGGTCTATTATCAATGCTGTGCTCTGATTGGTTGAGCTACTACTAGGCTATATGTTATAGCCCACTAGTAGCAAAGAGCACCGGATTTTGGGGGGCAAAAAAGGATTAAAGTCTTTCTTTACGTAGCTTAATTTTTTTTATTCTCGATATTTTTGACTAACTAGTTGGATTTTACTAAACGCTCACTGCTCACCCTCATGGCCTCTGAGGCAATAGCCCATTCGGCCTTTGGCCTCATGGGCTATTGCCTCAGAGCCCATTCGGGCTCAAGGAATAATTGTTAAATATGATAATGAGTTTAAAACAATGGGAAATAAAACTTAAACCGAGGATAAAATTGAACCACAACATATGCATAAAATGGCGCATACAGAAGAAATCAACCAGTAGTATCACTACTTTCATGTCTCAACATTGTGTCAGTAGTCCAGGTAGCCTCCCACGCAGGCGTTTTTAGGGGAGCTCGTATTTCTTCCCTCCCTGGGGAGGGAAGAAATACGAGCTCCCCTAAAAACGCCTGCGTGGGAGGCTATAGTCCAGGGTGCTAAGAAAATCATTTTTACAGCTTGCCATTCGGGCAAGCTGAAACTAACATTTACTAGCTCAAGCATCATTTCAACTAGCCCCACAAACGTTTTGACGAGCAGATTGATTTCTCAGTTCTTCTGTAATTTGAATTCCTCAAAAAGCTTCACTTGCCCGTCGGGCAACTTAATAACAGAATTCACTAGCCCGATAGCAAAATCCACTAGTCCCGGGCTATCGGACACTCCTTTCTTTGCACGCTGAGTAGTCCCAAATCCCTCTTATTTATTCTAATTGTTATTGTGCTCCTTCAGTTCTCCTCACAAGAACCAAGCAAGGAGGTACTAAGAGAAAAGAAGAAGTTAAAGAAAAAGAAGAAGAAAGGGAAAGTAAAGTCAAAATACGCGCAACCAACTAATGCTAGGGACGCAACGCCTGATACACTTGAGAATCAACATGAAAAACAAAACCTGCTTTGTGACAGTGATGGGATTACAACTGTTACAGCATCACATTTGGCCAATGCCTTATCAAGAGGAGGTGACGATAAAACCACCAGCTTTGATGAAACCGAAGATTGCAGAGACGAAAAAATCTCCTTGGCATCTGGCAGCACAAACAACGAAGGTAGCCACAACGAAACCTCTCATGAACAGTCTTCACATAAAACCCTCACCTCCGACTCACAAGCATGTACTTTAAAGAACGAGGGCGCCTATACTTCGAGCGTTTCACATGAAAAGGTCAGCGAACACCAAGTGGCGGGGTATGCCATTTCACACAGAGTACATGAACATGGGGTATATAACACTTGGGATTCCAAAGAGGGCAGTGAATCTAGTCAGGTAGAGGAACACTTCAAATTGCAATCAGAAAGTGGGGAAAAAGTCGGAGTGATCTGTGTGGAAAGCACACAAGAAAACAGTGCTGGTGTTCCTAGTTTATATTCAAGCTGTATCAGTGAGACGGAGCGTGTAGAATGTAGGAGTTTCAATGAGAATTGCACATCCGTCATTGAACAAGGTCAACAAGGAAATGGGCAATGCGGCCAAACAAAAACAATCCCTGACAACACTCCACTACCAGGTGGTTTGTGCTCAGAGACTGCTAAAGACGAAGGTGTCCAAGGCTGGCAAGACTACTGGAAAATATACGGCTTCTCGTTGGTTTGGGAGAACTGGATAAACCTCTACCCAGAGCTGTCAAGCGTTTACAAACAGGTGGGAACAGAGACAGTCTGTAACGACGACGGGAATGAGAGTATTCTGAAGGCTTCAGCCATTGAAAATGACGATAGCCAATCAGAAGAAATCACCAGTGCAAGATCGAACTTAAGCAGCCTTTCAGAGGAGTCAGATTTCTCCTTTAAAAACGATAAATCTACTGTCGTCAATGTTGGTGACCTTGAGGCCAAAGGAGTAAACGGTACGGAAGCAAAAGAGAGTATACCACCATCTGAAGAATGCATGTTGGAAAAACTTCATGACACAAGTCATGGTAACCAGACCAGACAAGGACTGCCAGCTATAGTTTCGTTTAATAATTGCCTTTCAGTGGACCAGCTAAAATCTGAATCTTCACAGTCCAGGGACGCCCAAGAAGAGAATCTCCAGGATATATGTGTGTGCGTTTCTCAAGAACATGCTGCAGTGAAACACGAATCATCGTCAGGTTCTCTGTCTGATCTGACAGTAGATCAAGTGAGAGCTCTGTGGGAACAAACGTACTGGGAAGTGTACTGGTATTACTATGAGGAGTATAAGTACTGGCGCAGCCAGGGCTATAGCTTTGATGGGCATTCTGATACTACAGATGAAGCGCAAGGTTTAAACACGGCCTGTCTTGCACAAAAAGGTTTTGTTTCTTGTGGATCAGGAGAAAAGCAGTCAAAAAAGAAGAAGACAAGAACGAGCAACAAAACTAAAACGTTTACATTAAAATTAAGTGGCATGCAGCAAGCACATCAAACTGCCAACGAAAAGGGTATTGCCGGCGAGGGAGATGAACCCCCTCCAGAGGAGAGATACCACAGTTTAAAACGAGCCCATGAGTTAGATGTAGAGGAACAGAACACTCTCTCCCTTGAAAAGGCGTACGAGTTAATGGGATTTAAAGTATCACGCGGATTATCACATAACGACCTGCCCAGAGTCTGTGCAGGGAAAGCCTCGTTCCAGTCAAACCTGGAGTCCAAAAACAAGTTTCTCAATATGCACCAGACACTCGAAGTTCCCAGATCCAAGGGAGTGCATCTTAGATTTGAAGATAGCGACGAAGAACAGCCAAATGAAAGATGCTCTTCGTTTGATGGAGAAAATTTGGTAAGCATTTCTGATCAGGACGGTGCCTTCGTCGAGGAGAAAAAAGAGACCTCCATGCTTGATAACGTGAAAACGTTTGTAAGAGAGATAGGAAACAACTCGCATTCTGAAAGTTCGAGAGATAAAAAATCAAAATGTGATCAGACATTCTCGGTAGCTGAAGGAAATGAGGTACCGAAGCATCTTAAGACGGCGTTCCAGGCACAAGATGATCTTTTATCGTTACAATCTCAACAGGAAACTGACAATATACCAGAAGTGATTACAAATTTAGAGCAAGACCCTGACATTGCTAAATACTGGGCGCAGAGGTACCGCTTGTTCTCGCGATTTGATGAAGGTATCAAGATGGACAAAGAAGGTTGGTTCTCTGTGACCCCTGAGCGTATAGCAGAGCACATTGCAGAACGATGCCGTTGTGACCTGCTAATTGACGCTTTCTGTGGTGTTGGTGGGAATGCGATTCAGTTTGCCTTCACTTGCGAGCGTGTCATTGCAATTGACATCGATCCCTTAAAAATTGCTCTTGCGCGACACAACGCAACTGTCTACGGAGTTGCAGACAGAATTGAGTTCATTGTTGGTGACTACATGAAGTTGATACCGCATCTGAAGGCCGATGTTGTATTTCTGAGTCCACCGTGGGGCGGACCAAATTACGCAAACGCAGAAGTCTTTGATGTCAAAACTATGATAACGTTAGATGGCGTTCGCGTTTTTGGAGAGACCAAGACTATCACCAACAATATTGCTTATTTCATGCCTCGCAATGTAGATGTTGAGCAATTGTCATCTCTCGCTGGTCCGGGTGGTAAAATGGAGATTGAACAGAATTTCGTCAATAAGAAGCTCAAGACGATTACAGCATATTATGGAGAACTGGTTGAAAATACCTGGTGAGAATCCCGGAGGACTAAATTGGACTATTCAAATTCCATTAGCCCTTCATTAATCACTTGGTTTTAGTGCAGTTGCTGTTTGCGCTCTCTTGACAAAAGACTTTAAGATCCAACGACGTGACGGTACCGACAGCATCTAAAAAACTATGGGTTTAATAAGCAAAACAGCAACGTCGCACGTGCATCATACTTTTTTTTGCACGACTACGACGTGAAACTGCCTAATTTCGCGTTTTATGGTTTCTTAACTTGGATGTGGTCCCTTGGAATTCAACTCCAGGAGGGTTCGCCTACATTTGACAAAGTAAGTGGGTAGGAATAACGGCGATAAAGACTGAAAGAAAGCTAATCTATTTTTTAAGCGACGTTCTCGTGGCCGTCACGTCTTTGAATCTTAGTCTATGTTGACACTGTACCGGATAACGTAAAATTCCGAAAATAAGCCCCGGGGCTTGTATTTTTCAAAGGCCCTTTTAGAGGGGCTTATTTTTGGAGATGCTTATCTACGGAGGGATATTTGCGTTTCAAAATCGATTGGGCTAGCCTTATATTTGGAAGTAAATGTACCGTTTTAGCTTTGTTTTACTTTGTATTTGAGGGCAATTTTCCAAGTACAAGCCCCCGGGGGGCTTATATTTGGAGGGGCGATTTAACGGAAGTTTTTTTGCGTTACCGGTTTGGGAGGCTTATATTTGGAGGGGCTTATACATGGAGGGGCTTACTTTCGGAATTTTACGGTAGCTTTTCGTAGCGCCACGAAAAGCTATCGGGTATTGTATGAACAGCAACGGCCCGGGGAGGGGCGGCACAAGTCGTTCACACACATCGAAACATCGCGAAACCGCGGTTAGCCGAGAGGGTTTGGTGCACTTAATTCCAGCCTCACTTCCGTCTCACTGGGTTCCAGTTCTCGCTTCTACTTATTAGGGAGCTTTAGCATCGACGACGGCGACGGCAGCGAAAACGTCACTTTTAAAATGAATTCGCGTTTTTTCAAACTTGTCGGGCTTATTCCAATTCGCTGAAAATGTCAAATGTAGGCGAATTTCCCTGGAGTTGATCCAAGTTTTGAAAGAGAAAGAGAAATTCGTTGTCGACTGTTTACGTCTTCTATAAAACGTGAAATTAGGGATTTTCACGCCGTTTTCGTGCAGTGACGACAAAGAAATGCCGTCGCCGTCGCCGTCGTCGTTGCTAAAGCTCCCTATTTACTTCCGCGACGGGCCAAATAGGTGTTCACACGGCACCAAAGAATGGCACAAAACAAATCTGTTACGTGACGCTTCACTTTCGAGATCGGTTAGGCGTGGCGCGGCGCAGCTTCACTCCGTTACAGAAATCGCGCGCGCCACAACCGTTCTTGTATGTGAACAGAAGCCCTATCCCGTATGGTTTTCGTGGCAGCGCAAAAGCTATCCAATAGGGAGCTTAAGCAACAACGTTTTTGAGCGACGCACGTCAACCGGAAGTGGCCTTTTTTTCATTTTTTGACGGTGGTTTCGCGCAAATTTTCAGTCAAATCGCCTCTATAACAGTAAAGAAGCTAAGGAATACAAATTTTATATCATCAAGGCATGTTAAGAGGGAAAATACCTCACTTCCGGTTGACGTGCGTCGCTCAAAAACGTCGCTGCTTAAGCTCCCTATTATAGTTTCAACCTAGCCTTAAAGTCCCTAGTTTCCAAAATAAATGTGGACGATTTTTTAAAAATCGTTTATAGAAATCTTGTGACAAGTCAACGCCAGCGTCAAAGGTTCAATTTGATGGAACGTACACAAGCTGAAGGAGCTGAACGCGTGTATGAAACCTCCATCGCTGCTCTTCTACACGTACTTTAAAAGCCTTGGCGAATAAAGTCTCAAAAACGTTGACAGGAAAAACAAAAACTCGGGTAGTGAAGATTGGTAAGGAGCAGACAACTGTAATATACATTGATGATCCAGTTAAGTGTTAACAGAGGATCATTCCGTTCGATTATCACGTTTACTTATGTTCTGTTGTACTATAAAAAAGCTTAGGTCTTTTAAATAAACGTAAATTAACTTACTTAGATGACAAACGGAGTAGCATGCTTCATTTAATCCAGAAAACTCGCAGTTGGAAAATTATAAGAGCCATCTTGGTTCATTTTGAAGAAAGCCAATAACGTCCGAGTGGAATGATTGCTGTAAGCTTTGTGTTAATCCCAAATGCGAACGATTCAAAATAATAACTTTCTTTGGGGATTGAACAAATCAAAGAAGAATAAGGGAGACAGAGCCAACGTGTTAATGCGGCAGTACGTTCCTACCAGATTTCGGAACAATTGAAGTTTTTGGGTAACTGACGCTTTCCCGTCCCCTAACTCACAATTTTGCCCTAAGTGAAAAACAATTGTTTATGTTGACAAAAGGGAGGGGTAGGTGGTTAGAAACGTTTACATGAAAGGTGGGGTGATCCACCACATGTTACCTCACCCATCTGGGGTCTCCATGTAAACAGGCCCTAAGAAAAGATTCAAAAGACACTGAACAATACCCTCACCATAAAACAAAAGCGAACCAACAATAGTTTCCGGAAGACTAAGAGACACTCCTCCATTGGTTTATGATTGATCTAAAGATGTGTTTTATTGAACATTCAGAACAAGAACAACATAAGCCGGGTTATCAAATCCCTACTCATGAAAATACATTATGAAAGTAATGTGATTGCTTTTTGTAAGGCTTTTATTGTCTTCTTCTTATGCAATTGTCCATTTCCTATTTGCCCCAAGCCTCTGTTTCAAAGCGAGGCTTAGCGCAAAGCCAGTCAAATGAAAATTATTTTTTATTCTCATGCAAATAAAACTCCATCCTCGGAGACCCAGGGGCAGTCAGTCGGGTTGGGAGAAAGGGCGCGACGAAAGTTTTCAAGTACGGGCGAAAGAGCCCCCGGGTACCGACTCTCACCGAGCTGTTTCCAAAACTTCAAGCTGATGCCGGCTCCTGATAGGGCACAAAAAATGCTTTGTATTATTTGTGCCCAATCGGCGAACAGTTTCTTCTGAGTTCCTTTCGTGAGTTCGTACACGACTGCTATTGTTTCAATCACGCCTTGTCTGGCTCATGCACCAAAGAAATGCAGGCAGTCAGGAAACTTTCAGTTTGATATAAAATCCCCATCTGATCTCAAAATACTGTCTGCCCGAAAACTAAAGACGCTTTTCCAAAACTACAAGTTTGGACTTACAACAGGTATTCACGCTTGCATCGGTCACGTCTTGTGTAAATATTAGGGAATTTTTAAAAAATACCACGACGGCCGACAATCACGAAAAGGTCGCATGGAAAACAGAATTCACATTTTTTCAGTTTCTATCGTGATTATTCCAAAACGCTTTCTTTGTCAAATGCAAGCGAACTCTTCTGGAGCTGAATTTCTATCAACATATCCGCCAAGTCGATGAAGTTAATGAATTTTGTCATTGCGTGTTTACGTCCTTCACAAAACATGAAATTAGGCATTTTCACGGGTAGTCGTCCAGTTGACGGAAAAGAAATGTACAAAAAAGTGTGATGCACGTGCAAAGTTGTTGTTTTGCTTATTTGACTTTCTCGTCGCCGCCGCATCTTTATCTTCTTATTATTTACGATACATTGTGATGAGTCAAAAACAGAATATTCTCCGGGCAAATTGACTGGCTCCTGCTCATAGCATCCCAAACGTTTTTTTGACTCATCGGTAGTTCCTTCGTTTCTGGTTAGGAAAGAAGAAAAAAAAAGTCTCCCTGGCTCGCACCAGCTTGGTGAACGAACCGGGCAAGTGTAGCAAGACAATAGCAGTCGTGTACGAACTCACGAAAAGAACTCAGAAGAAACTGTTCGCCGATTGGGCGCAATAATACAAAGCATTTTTTGTGCCCAATCAGGAGCCGGCATCCGCTTGAATTTTTGGAAATAGCTCGGTGAGAGTCGGTACCCAGGGGCTCTTTCGCCCTTACTTGAAAACTTTCGTCGCGCCCTTTCTCTCGACCCGACTGACTGCCCCTGGGTCTCCGAGGATGATAAAACTCATTATCACAAGAAAGGTTTTGCACTTAGCCTCGTATTGAAAGTGAGGGTTGTTGGAAATCGAAATGGCCTATTTTATGCCCTTTAGCTCAAAATTTTGTTGACAATTGTTCCCGTTATGTTAAATCAAATACAGCTATTAATAAACATAACTAATTTCAGAGTTGGTTAAGTAGTAGATTTATTGAAACAGTTTTAGGTAAAATGATGATACTGTTCTTTCAAAGGCTAATAGGCCATTCGGGTTCTGCTTCACTTAAACCTTACTCACATTATTTTTTGTGCATTATTTGCTCAAGCAAACTTCTCCAAAATTTGCATACTCAAAACATCTGTATGCAAACGCAGTTGCGCTAATGTTCAGCGTTAGCTAGCGTGTTGTTTAGTACCTGAGTCTTTTAAGCTCTGTAGTTTTTCTAAAATCGAAGAGAGAAGTATGGGAACAATGGAAGAATCGGTCTCTTCAATCCGGCAGATGAAGCTGCAGGTTCTAGCACTACACCAGGCTCTGTGATAGTACCACCGTACGACTCCAGTAAAATTACGTTGTTTTGTATTGGGTAAGGTCAAGAGCCTTGAGCCTTGGTAAAGTTATTAATTAGGACGCTAAAATTTGTAAAATGCCAAATAAAAGTCAATGAAACTTATTCTGCAGGAATTTCACTGTTTTAGTATCACAGAGCATGGTTGACCCGTGCCCACACGTAATCTGATTTCATTGTCAAGGCCTGAATAATTATTCCGGCGAAGCTCAGGCCCCGTCCACACCAATCCAGACACTTTTAAAAACTGCCGATTTTTTTTTATATATACGAATCGGCCTTCCGTCCACACGAAATCAGTAAAACCCGCTCACAGAAAACTTAATGCATTGGCGGATCCCGTCCCCCCCCCCCCCCCCCCGTTATTTTTAGACCAAACTGAGGCCCGAAGGGCCGAAAAAAATTTTTTGGAGACTTGGAGACCATTTCACTTGATCAACAAATAGTCTATCAGAATGGCATGAACAAAACATGGTAATTGTCCGCAATCTTGAAAAACGTGCAGCGTGATACCGCTGACCTCGTGATAAGGCATCACAAAAATCAACCCATGGGGGGGGGGGCCTTAGGCCCTAATTATTGTATTTTAGAATAAATTGAATAAATGTCTATCGAAAGCTTACCAATGTGGCTCAAAACGTGAAGAAAGTGGCTTCAAAGAACCTCAAAAAGCCCAAAGTTGCCGAAAATTCTAAAAAGTTGCCGAAAATCTCAAAAGTTGCCGAAAAGTTGCCGAGCAACTTTGGCTAAGCCTAGTTCGGAGAAGCAAAAATTGCCTAGTATTTTCTATAGCTTGAGGAAGGCTAAAAATTTCTAGGTGACCGTTCCATTCATGTACAATTTTCGTAATATATCTAATAAATTCCTTACGATTTTCTAAGGTTTAATTTTTCGCATTTCAGTACCCAAGCCTATTTTTCGTAGAAAAGGGAAACCTAAAATTTTCGGATTCAAAAATGCGATGGAGAGAGGAATCAGAAAAATTCTCACATTCGTAAAACTTAAAATTGCACCTAAAAGTTTCGGGAAAATAATACTGAAGCCCTTGTAATTTCGAAAAGACTCAAACTGCCCTAGGACGACCGAACAGGTACAAATTTTATAGCGCCGCCTGCATTTCCAGAGATCTGAAAGTACCCTGGATAGCCTAAAAAGTGTTTTCAATGCATTTAGAAGGAAACCTCGTTGGGTGCCCCTGAGATTAGAGTCTGATATCTCCCGGATAATCGCCAAAGTTGCAATTTCTTGTAGACTCAACTTTCCGACAAATTTTTTGCGTTGTTTGAGCTACTCTCAACATGGAACGTTTCCTCATAAATTCTGGTATGCCACTGTATAATGTGGCTAAATATGAACTGTTTATGTGCAATTTACGTCGATTGGAAACAACGAGCATTTTTGGCACAAATGACGTCATTTGTCATGTGATATGACGTAATCTATCATTCCTTCCCTATCAATTGTCAATATTTGATGACGTGGGGGGTTGACAGCCCTGCTCAAGGTCTGGATCCGGCACTGTAATGTTTTTGAAAGCGCTCTTCAGAGTGGTTTCAAAAAAAAGGGAGAAGAGACCCAGTGTACACGAATCCTGGCAAAGAAACTATGCCGTTACAAAAATGCCCCTATTCGTTTGGACAGGACTTCAGCTTTTGGATTAGTGCAAGAGAGGATAAAGGGGACAGAAAAGGCATCCGCCATACACACCCTATTCCACAGGTAATTCGTCTCGAGTTATTTTTAGAATCGGGATAAAGTTACCTCGCGCGCTGCGTGGATGTTTCGTGGAGGTTTCGCATGACTAAACGCCATGCAAAACATGTCGGGCGAAAGGCAGTGAAAGCGTAAAGAACACATTTGCGCTATGTGATTGGCTGTTGTCTAATCCCCCTTGGGATCTGTGGTCTTAAAAATAACTCGAGACGAATTACCTATGGAATAGGGTGTGTATGGAGGATGCCTTCTCTGTCCCCTTCATCCTCTCTTGATTAGTGTCTATTTTGTTTCTAGTCTATTAATCTGTGGATGTAGAAAGTGAAGTCAGGTGCATGATGTGGTAAAGCGAGTTTTTTCTGCTCTTAAAGAATACGAAGTGTTCTCCGTGATGAAGATTAAAAGATTTTTCGTCATTCATCAACTTATTTCATAGTTGATTGTTATTCCTTAATAGATGCAAAGATGCCGGGTAACAATTCAAGCGCAATGGCTTCATCAATTTCGAGTTGTTCCTTGGAGCGTTGGTTTGACATTGCCTCTGAGAATCTCTTCCAACTCTCCACGATTATCCAGGAATCCCCGGATACGGGAAGTGTTCTCTTGGTCTCCCGTACGGGTCAAAAAATCTCCCGGGCAAAATTGAATTTTGCGCTTTTCTATGGCATGGTTTGAGATTTAGTCCGTCTCCTCCAAGAATCCAAAAGCTTTTTCTCATCTTAGCACGGGTTCTTTGACATTTACGGCATGTGTTTTATTAGTGAGAAGACTTCTTCGACAAAAAGCGACTTTTGACCGTCTGTTTCCTTATAAACCTTTTTTTTATATCAAGGCATGTGTTCAAAACAAGGCCCAACTCTGCGCGAGCTCTGCTTGCATTTCCGGTTACGTACTTTCCGATAAGGAACAGATTCCGGTTACGTACTTTCCGATAAGGAACAGAATTAAAATTTAAACAAACAACTGTGTTGGATAAATCTGGCCACGGTTGTGGCAGCTGTTAAATGAAATCAAAGCTAACAGAATCACAACACATCGATATATGTAAACCGATTAACCTACTGAATAAAAAATGGGGCGACAAAAATCCGCCACAAACTACACAACTAAATAAGAAAGTGAAAAAAGAAGAAATAGGAAATACCGTTAACAATAATAACCCGCAGGCAGGTGAAATGGGAGGAGGAGGGAAAGATTTTGCTCGAGATCTGACCGAGTTGATGACGAGGGAAAGAAGGAAGAATTACTGGTAAAATACCTCAATATACTTACTTAACCCTGACACAGCCCTATAACCTCATTGGCTAGATTTGCAGTACCTGGTACAGCCTGACCTAGCGAGTTATCATGTGAGTATCATCATGCCTTGACATAAATTACATTATGTCTGCCATACACACGCTGTAATATAATTATATATGGAAAAGGTTTCCACTTCTGATCATCATTTACTAGTCTTTTAAAATTTTCACGTCAATTTGAACATTTTTTCCTTCATTTTTTCAAAACTAACCAATATACTGAGCTGAGACACCACTACTTTGATCAAACTACATAGAATCTTGCTTACCCATATTGGACCATATTGTTTGGAGTAGGTGTGCAAAACTTAAATATGAATCAGTTTACTAAACGCTACATGAAGACCAAAGATAAATTGCTTCACAACATAAACGCTTCTCGTTTATTTATTACACTGAAGAAAACAATACCACACAACAATTTTTTGCAATATTCAATGACTGATAATCCAAAACACGCACATTCGCCAAAGCTCTTCATAGCGGCGGGGCAGCAGGTTAGTGTCTCCTAAACCTCTAAGATGTAATGGCATAGGCCAGTTTCGAATATCAAAATTCACACTTAACTCCGAAGCTAAGGGGAATTGACACAAAAGAAATGAATAATTTCTCTAAATCTCATTGGCTAATGTTTCAGTAATGTAAGAGCTGCTCGTAAGGTGTTCCCTCATTGGTAGCAGAAAACAACAACACATCGTTTATCAATATTTCCTGTTGTTTCACGGTTAGGGTATCGAACCAATTGACTTTTAGGGTTAGGAGAGCTGGTACATCAGTCTCAGGCAAGTATGAATTTTAATAATTCAAACCTGGCCTCTTTGCATGCGCAGTGATTTATGATAAATCAACCTCGTTCTTAGCGTGCTTGTTAAGTCTCGCTGAAGTATAAGAGCATGATAACGAGGTTACTGATAACTAATTTGTGAGTAGTAAACACATAGCACAAATGATAATGCCATTTGAAATTTAATCAGCGGTATAGTTAGAGTGATTTAACTGAACCGGTGAAATAGATAGTAGAATGCTACGCATTATTATGCATTTAATTCTATTGTGCTCTTGTTTGTATTTGTAGTTATTTTGCACTAGTTGTTATTAACTGTTTCACGGAGCCAAGTAAAATCGCTCTAAAAGCCTGCTCACGAATATGCGTGGTTATTGCAGTTGGTGCGATATTCAAACATTATTATTGGGGCTTTTTATGCCTTGCTAGGAACTATAATGATATCATACATTTTGGTTAATTTCATTCCAAACTTGAATGATTAGAAACCTAATTACCGTGTATCCTCGGTCAGAAGGGCTAAATTCGTTACTTATTTGCCAGTGAATTGGCTTCACATCTACATCTTATTACGTCGGTAAAGTCGATAAGACATCACACCAATTGCAACTTGCTTGTTATATAAACAGGCAAAAATTAAAAAAAAAAACATAAATATGTTTATTTGAGGAAGGACGAAATATTTTGCAATCAGCCATATGAAACACACTTCCAAACCAAGCCTCAAACAGTCATGACCACATGCTTAAACAATCTCAGTTACTTCAGGGGCACCCAACGAGAATATAGTTCAAAACCACTTAAACATAGCATTGTTAAACGTATTTTAGTATTTAAACGGTAGAATAGGCATATTCTTATCCCCTAAAAATTTTTCATCTGTTCGGATTTTCTAGCTGAAAGTCTAGTGATCCGAAAAATATAAGGATCAAAACTTACCTTTCCGAAAATTTCAGGCACAAAAAAGGCTCCCGAAAATTCTAGGCGACCTTTTAAGTGTAAAAATCCGTTAAAAATGGGCAATTATACCATTTTTTAGATGTTCGAAAATCCTAGGAGAGGCAGGCAAGCAAGAAATTTTAGAACAAATGTTTCGAAAATTCTAGATCTCAAATCGTCTTCCGAACAGATATTTTCCGAACATTATCGTTGGGTGCCCCTGTTACTTTTGAATAAAATACTGAAAACAATATATAAAACTGAATATATAACAAAATAAACACACCAATAGTCTTCACAACTTTCCTGGTTTCTCATTGTACATTAATGCGAACGTTGCAAGCCTTATGCTTCTCACACAAATAAATAAACGTCAACTCATTTAACATGTCCATGGAGTAAAATTTTGAGAAATCAGGGGAGGCTGTACGTGAAAAGTGAAACCTGAACTTCTACAAATCATACGCTCTAAGATCAAACGCAGCAAACTACAAAAGCAATACACTGAGGAGTTACATGTTTCAAAACAATGAGGGAGGGAACAAATTATTTTTTAAAAAATTATTTTTTAATTATATGCCTAATTCTGCCTTGTTCAGTAATGCTTAAGAAGGGAAAAACAGTGGTTTACTCTCGCATCCCCCACATAAAACAGTCATTGTCCCAGAGTATTCAGTTTCAGAAGGATTTGTAAGTAATGCATTTCTCCTTTTAAAATCATATTGGTTGAAAAGTGACAATCAAAAGCAGCCAAAATAACAAAGGTTGGACATATATAGTTAAGCAAATACTCTGTGCAACGAGTAATGTCACCCCTTCCACAAAAGGATGAAACTACGGACAAAGACAATTGCCGACCTGTCAGTTTCCTCCCCAGTGCCAGAGTATTCAGAAAAAAATTCCCTCGTGTAACCTCGCAGTTTTCTACAGTATAGTGCATGCCATTTTCGATATGTGTGAAAACTGAACTTTCTTTCAAAGTTATAAAAACAAAAACATTAGCAAAGAACATTGTCACTCAGTAGTCTGCCTCCTACGCAAAGTCCCCACTACGAGGCCCATTCGGGGAGTAAAAAAGAAAAAAAACAACTACACGACTGCTAAGTGACACCAACTACTCTATATACGTTAAATGTCTCATCAGAAAGAAACCTATACTCGCAGGGAAGCAAAGTCCTTTTTGTGTTACATACAAGCATAGTTTCTTTGACATCAAACGCTTTGTGCGACCCTGAAAATAAAAACATATTTAATGCATCAACACACTTTGAGAAATAACTGCTTCAGTAGTAGTAGTACAATGTATTTACGGTGAGAGGGTTAACATTAGGTAACATTTGCTGAATGACAGTCGTTTTCGCTAAACAACAAGTTTCATAGATTTAGCGAAACAAAACATGAACATTGTTTCCAATCGAAACCGTGATCCAGGCCTTCTTAATAACATTTGAAAATTAAAAAATCTCGTTTGCCTCTGTTAACATTATCATCATTATCATCTTCATAATTATCGTCATCGTCATCATCATCGTCATCGTCGTCGTCGTGGTCATCGTCATCATCATCGTCGTCTTCATGGACATTTTTATCATTATATTATTACTATTATTATCATTATTATTATTTTCTCCATAAGCTATTCAAAACCATTTTTTCAATTCAAGGATAAATCGAAAGTCCTTAATCTGAAAGAAGTTTTCTAGTTTTCAATTCCCATTTCAGATCTATTTATGACTGAACTGTTGACGACTGGTAATGCTGTGAGTAATTGCGATAGCAATGCTTTTGAAAAGGTTTGGAATCTTTGCTGGAAGAAGTTCAGAATCGGATTTTGGTAAGGAAACGTAAGAACAGGTTTTTATATGGTCTAAAATTTGGAAACGTTCGCCGAAATCCATCCAACGTTTCTCGTAACATTCGATACAATTGGTGGCTTTGTCGGCAAATTTCCTTAATTTTGCCATTTTCGAATTCTATTCCGAAGACCTTAAAAATACAAAGCAAAAAAAATTACTTACGTTTTCAACGATTTTTATCAAATTGAATTGTAACGTCATCGCCAATCAGCACAAATGGAGCCCAGTACTTTGGGGCAGAAAAGGTTCCCGAGTCGCGGAGACATTTCATGGCCTTCTGAAGAGCATGACTAGCACTTTCGCCAGCTCTCAGGTGTTGGTAGAAACTTTTCATAAACTCCATTGTAGCTTCGTCATCGATTGCCCAGAGTGACACTAGCACAGAACGAGCACCAGCAAACAAGAAAGCCCGCGCCATACCGACGACGCCTTCGGAGTTAACTTCTCCTTTACCACTATGGCAACAACTAAGCACAACCAGCCTCGCTCTCAACTCAGCAGCTTGAATATCAGACATCTTTAAAATATAATCCTCTTCCATAGGGGTAGGATTCTTTGATTGCCACCCGGGGTTTGGAGCCAAGGCAATTTCACCAGTTTCCTTTTTTCCGTGGGCTGCAATGTGAACTAAAGCGACTGACTCTATTCTTTTAAGCACCTCCTGTTTTGTTGCAGCTTCTCCTGTAAGTGGTTGGCCGTTTAGGATTGCACCAATCATCTCCACTTCCTTTTTTGCGTAATTAAGTTGCTTGTGAATGGGCTTACCCCGTTTATTTGTAACTTTCTCCAGACTTGGATCTCCAACAAGCAGGACTCCATCTTTAGTGTGGTGATCAGCTGAAGAAGCAGTTATCAGTTTCAAAATTGCAAGCGAGGGAACTGTGCGAATCCTTAAAGATTCACTTAGGGCTGCCCATGGAGCTAAAGACAAAGCACCATCAGGGACTACTATAAGTTCATCACAATTAAGCAAGTCTTCAATGGGACCAATAACAACATCATACAGTGGATGTAACCAGTCGGTATTCCTGTATGACTGCTCCAATATTCGATCATCGTCTCGAGTACTTAGAGCTGCATTGTCCTTTTCGTTATCCAATGACCGATTCTCGCATCTTACATTGACCCCAGCCCCAATTTTTTTCAAAGCAGCTTCCAAAAGAGCAGCGAATGAATTTTCGTGTACACTTGCACTTGTTAACTTTCCCTGCCTGAATACAGCGTTGCTTTCCTTTCTCAATACCCATATATTAATTGTTTCATTTTGTACTGCAAGAAAAGCTGTCAAAGTAGGTATTTTTCTTGAAGTGTTTGCAACCTCTTCTTCAGATTTATTCCACGCGTGTGGAAATGATGGGAAGCCATATTTTATTTTCAAGGCGTCTTGCAAGGCTTGTGCCCTTCCTTGCTCAGCAGCATATAAAGCCTCGTCCGTCTTTTGAAGCATTATAAGAACTTGACATAAATAGGTGTAGGCACGTTTCCAAATCTCAAGAAAACTTATTTTCCAGCCATCTTTGGAAATGAGACTGGCTCTAATAGTGTCAAGAGTTTCTACGCCCGATCTAAAATGAGCTAAGGCTTCATCCAAAGAATTTAAAACGAAAAAAGACATGCCTAGATTGCAAAAGGCACGTCCTTCTCCGGCCCTGTCGCCGACGTCCTTGGCAACGCTAAGGTGTTTCTTCTGGTACTCTATTGCTCGTTGGAAGTCGCCGAGAGAGTGATAAGCATTGCCGAGATTGCCATAGGCACCTCCTTCTCCGGCCCTGTCGCCGACGTCCTTGGCAATGCTAAGGCGTTTCTCGTGGTACTCTATTGCTCGTTGGAAGTCGCCGAGAGAGTGATAAGCATTGCCGAGATTGCCATAGGCACCTCCTTCTCCGGCCCTGTCGCCGACGTCCTTGGCAATGCTAAGGCGTTTCTCGTGGTACTCTATTGCTCGTTGGAAGTCGCCGAGAGAGTGATAAGCATTGCCGAGATTGCCATAGGCACCTCCTTCTCCGGGCCTGTCGCCGACGTCCTTGGCAATGCTAAGGCGTTTCTCGTGATACTCTATTGCTCGTTGGAAGTCGCCGAGAGAGTGATAAGCATTGCCGAGATTGCCATAGGCACGTCCTTCTCCGGCCCTGTCGCCGACGTCCTTGGCAATGCTAAGGTCTTTCTCGTGATACTCTATTGCTCGTTGGAAGTCGCCGAGAGAGCGATAAGCATTGCCGAGATTGCCATAGGCACTTCCTTCTCCGGCCCTGTCGCCGACGTCCTTGGCAATGCTAAGGTGTTTCTCGTCGTACTCTATTGCTCGTTGGAAGTCGCCGAGAGAGTGATAAGCATTGCCGAGATTGCCATAGGCACGTCCTTCTCCGGCCCTGTCGCCGACGTCCTTGGCAATGCTAAGGTCTTTCTCGTGGTACTCTGTTGGTCGTTGGAAGTCGCCGAGAGAGTGATAAGCATTGCCGAGATTGCCATAGGCACCTTCTTCTCCGGCCCTGTCGCCGACGTCCTTGGCAATGCTAAGGTGTTTCCCGTGGTACTCTATTGCTCGTTGGAAGTCGCCGAGAGAGTAATAAGCATTGCCGAGATTGCCATAGGCACCTCCTTCTCCGGCCCTGTCGCCGACGTCCTTGGCAATGCTAAGGTCTTTCTCGTGGTACTCTATTGCTCGTTGGAAGTCGCCGAGAGAGTGATAAGCATTGCCGAGATTGCCATAGGCACCTCCTTCTCCGGCCCTGTCGCCGACGTCCTTGGCAATGCTAAGGTGTTTCTCGTGGTACTCTATTGCTCGTTGGAAGTCGCCGAGAGAGTAATAAGCAATGCCGAGATTGCAACAGGCACGTCCTTCTTCAAACTTGTTGTTATTTTGCTTGGCTTCTAAAAGACGCTCCGTAAGAGTTTCAATTCGTTTTATTATCCTCTGTGTCATTCTTAAATCTTAATACTGCAAGTGTGATTGCTTCCTGAGGGTAATAGGCCTAGTGAAAAAGAAATTGTTATGAAAGCAATCATAGAACACGTAAGAAAATAAGAAAAGGAAAAGGTTTTAATTTCATGGACTAATTAACAATTACATAGACCCCAACAACTGTAACACTTCCCCCCCCCTTTTCTCATGCTCCGTGGACAACGTTCAAAGGTCTTCCCAAATATTCCTGTCGGACCTAACCGAAATGGTCTTTTTCATTTGATTTGTAACCGAATTTCCTGAAGTTTGGACGGTATAGAAAGCTCCCATCATTTTTCTCACACGAGTATAAACATCCTTCAAAATTCTGCCTGGACGTATAGCTTTTATTTCATTTTTCTGTTTTACCTGTGAAAAACATTGTTCGCTATTATGATTGCCTAGAACTTATCTGCATATGAAAATTTACTAAATTGCCTTTTAGTGGGTGTATCTCAGTACGTGTATGTTCCTTTTTTGAAAACGTCACCTCCCAACAGTTTTTATTCGGCCAATAACTACCTTCAAAACAGCCATTATAAAGACTAAGAGTGAAAGGAATGCTTTTTTTTCTCTTTTCCTGGTGGTTTCTTGGTGTTACGGCCGGATCATCAAATGAGAGGGGACGAAAATTGGATTTAGTGCACTTTTGACATGCGTCAAAAGTTAAGTCGAATATGGTATTGGCTTTGACCTCACCTTTGACGCGCGTGAAAGATGTCGCCAAATGTATAACCTCTTTGCTTACTCCCTTGACCTTGGTAAAGGTGAAGCCAAATTGGTAACAACTTTGACTTCTCCTTTGACGCGTGTCAAAGATGAAGTCAAATGCGTCAATGCTTTGATATTCCTTTAACCCTTATCATAGTTAATTGAGTGGAATGGTTATGAAACCCGTCAGACGCCTTTGTTATATGTTTTTGTGGACCTGAAAGTGCACAACGTTCAAAAGAATTGCTATCATTTTGATTGTATTGACCAATAAAAACGTTGCATTAATTTATTCCGTAACAATTTGCCAACAGAAAACAAAGGATTGTGCACTTTCACAGTGCTTTGAACATAAACTGCAGCACTGTTGTTTTTATCATTGATGTTTGCCGCTTTTCATAACCAGTCTCCTCTAATAACTATGCCCTTTTCAAAGGCGTTGTCAAATTTGCTGGTAACTTTGACTTAACCTTTGACGCACATCAAAGATGAAGTCAAAAGTGTAGTGGCTGTGACCACACCTTTCATACTAGTCAAAAATGAAGTCAAATACGAACGCTACACTTTTGAATGATGTCAAAGGTGAGAGCAAATGTGCAATGAATTACTTCTACAAACACTTATTCGAAACTGATATTAAGAAAGGAAATTAATAAGCTGTATTTGAATACTGTTTTAAAGATATTTATACGACAATACCGAACACGGGCTGGTAATCATGGTAATTGCTGTTTTATAATTATTTTTGTAAATGTTCTGGAATATGTACTTTTTCGAAGTGAAATTTTTTTTTGTCTTATGTTGAGTGGATCATTTTCCCCTAGATCGATCAATATACGATGTAATGATAGCGACGCAAACAATGACTCAACAATTGGACGATGGAAGATTGAACCCAAGCAAAACACCCTGTTTTTGGCGCGAAATTGTCGCGGCTGCAAACTCTCTCTCCGCCCGCGCAAACTAACAAACAACGCAGATCTGAAGAAAAAAAAAAAAGCTGCTTTTTTGTACGAAACAGTCCACCTTTTGTTAACAAATATTTTCACCCTCAACTTTGATAGAGTTTAGACCAAAAACTTGTTCAAATGGTATTAGTTTATTATTAAACCTTTGACTTAAATTTCAGACGCATTTGACGACAACTTTGTCACACATTTGACCTGAGGCTCAGACACATTTGACGACACTTTTCACGAGCCTTTGACTTTAATCACAGACATAACTTTGCCGCGCTTTTGTCACACCTTTGGCGTGAATCTCAGACATATTTGACGACCCCTTTGATAGGGGTACAAATGCTAATGAAATATACCTTCGTCAAAGGTAGGGGTTAAAGGCGTGACAAAAACGGCCTTTATCGCCTGAAGACTCGCCTTTGACCGCGGGCAAAGGTAAACATTTGTCGCGCGTCAAAGATGTGCAAAGGTGGCCTTTATCGCGCGTTTGACTTCACCTTTGACGTTCGGTAAATCCGTTTTTTCGTCCCGTGTGAAAGCAATGCTTTTTTTCTCTTTTCCTGGTGGTTTCTTGGTGTTGCGGATCATCAAATGACGTCACGTTTACCCTATTTTGTTCTATTCTATTTGTCACCATCATCAAGTTGAAGTCTTTATTCAAACTTTAAAAATCCTCACTTCGGTAAACGAATGCAAAAATTTCTGTCGGTTTGTCAGGACCGACAATTTACAGACAACTTTTGACTTAACAATGTCAGAGTTCAATTTCAACCCGATTTCCACTGTTTAAAAAGCTCGTCGACGTCTGAGCTGCTGACGTGAAGTCCACTGTAGCTTTTAAGGAATTGCATTTGAGGGGCGGGTATACGGATTGTTCGCCGTGATTTCGGCCTTTAAAGTCGCTGCAAAGCTCAACGACGATCACGGTTTTTAGGCGATAGTTATCTAACAAAAACTTGTCCTACTCCAGGTTTTACCCTCCTCTTAACCGTCACTATAAAATGATTTTGGTCAGTCAGCAATTCTTTATTTTCAAAAAATACAATAGTCAAGAAACGATTTTCATTTTGGAATTAACATGATTAAAAAAACCTTGGTATCCTGGTATACGTTACATAGGAAATGTATTGTCAATTCATCAACTTCAGTTAACAAGAAAAGGAAACAAAAAACAAATTTATTTTATGAATACTGTTATGAATTTGTTGACAGGCTGAAAAGTTTAGAATTGAAAAACTTCCTTTATTGATTTCTTTTTCCAGAAACCAAAATTATTATTGAGAAAGGTTTGAACCCAGGAGTCATGTCAAAAATAGGTTGAGTTTGATCGTCCGGGTAAATGTAGTCCTGACAGGACTGTTGTTGTTGACAGTGACTGACGTTTCGACAACCTGTGCGGTAGTCATCTTCACAGTCAAAGTGAGTTCTATCACGTCAGTTGATGGTATTATACTCTGGTTATTGGTCTGATTGGTCAATTACGTCGCGATGTTATTGGTCGTCTGTCAGTTAAGCCGTGATGTTATTGGCTATGAAGACTCGTAATCAGTAATTGGTGCGTTTCGATCCGTCTATTGTCACAGTTAAACAGTTGTCTATTGTTAGTCAAATTGTCAGTTCTCCAGTCGTTCTCTCGTAGTTAGTTTTGCTTGAGCTCGTCAATAACTCGTTTGTACGGCGCTGGTAACTGTTGGCTACGATTCAGTGGCGTTTGTTCTAAGTAGTAAACCAGCTTTCTAAAGTACGACGTTGATAGTAGTCTGTAAAATACGTTATACATCTCGCAGAGTCCCAGTCGTTTAAATGGTGCCCAGCAATGTAATTGTTGACGTCACCATTCCTCGTCGCTCGCTTGTGTTCGGTCAGTCGCGTGCTTAGGTTTCTGCCGGTTTCACCAATGTAAGAAGCAGGGGCACCCAACGAGGATATAGTTCAAAACCACTTAACATAGCATTGTTGAACGTATTTTAGTATTCAAACGGTAGATATAGGCATATTTTTATCCCCTAAAAACTTTTCATCTGTTCGGATTTCCTAGCTGAAAGTTTAGTGATCCGAAAATTATAGGGATAAAAACTTACCTTCTCGAAAATTTCAGCCAGGAAAAGGCTCCCGGAAATTCTAGGTGGCCTTTTTTAGGGTCAAAATCCGTTAAAAATAGGTAATTATACCATTTTGTAGATGTTCGAAAATCCTAGGAGAGGCAGGCAAGTAAGAAATTTTGTAACAAATGCTCCGAAAATTCTAGATCTCAAATCGTCTTCCGAACAGATATTTTCCCGAAAATTGCCGTTGGGTGCCCCTGAAGAAGCCTGGCAGTCGCAGCATTTGATCTTGTATACTGCTCCCTGTCTGTCCTCCGGTTTGTCTTTGTCCTTGACATAAGTAAGCAGTCGCCGTAAAGTGGTTATCGGTTTGTGTGCAACACGTATATTGTAAGGTTGTAATATACGGGCAATAGTTTCAGAGGTGCCTCTGATGTACGGTATAGTCGCTGTCGTAACAGGGCCAGAGTTGGTCTGAGCCTTGGAATCAGTGTTACTGTGAGTGTTCCGTCTAAAAAAGTCTGTGTTGTAATTGTTCTTACTAAAAACGTTGTTAAGATAATCAGTCTCGTCTTGTAGGCTGTCAGGTGAGTCGCAAACTAGTTGCGCTCGTCTCGTCAGAGTCCGGATAGTAGTAGCCTTGTGAGAGGTCGGGTTGTACGAAGACTGGTCTAGTAATCGGTCGGTATGTGTCGGTTTTCTGTAAATAGTCGTTTTTAGTTTGTTGTTGTCGCGAGTGACCAAGCAGTCTAGAAAAGGTATCTTACCATTTTCTTCGATCTCCTTGGTGAACTGTATATCCGCGTTCAGTCTGTTAAGGTGTTCGTGAAAATCGTCGATTCCGTCTTTGTGTATGGCCTTGAATGTGTCGTCAACGTAACGTAACCAAAGAGTGACAGTTCGCGTGTGCGTAGCTAGGGCTTGTTCCTCGATGTTTTGCATGACAATTTCTGCTACAACAACAGAAACTGGAGAGCCCATAGCGTTGTACTGAAAGTACGTCGAAGTCAAACAGAGGTTCGTCGCTCCGTTACAAAACTCGGGCCGAAATCAGGGGTACCCGACGCGAATATAGTTCAAAACCACTTAAACATAGCATTGTCAAACGTATTTTAGTATTTAAGAGTGGTTGTCAGAGAAAACCGGGCAAAATGTTAAAAATGTCAACGGAAGGGGGTCAACAGAATAAGTTCATACTAACATCACAGATAGGTCTGGTGGAGTAATGGACAAATATAATAAACATAGGTTCTTCACTGCTCTTGTA